CAGATTTTACTATAAAGTGTTGCATGTTGATACTGCAACTAAGATATAAACTTACCTACTTAATATATGTTCTTCCATTCAAGTCACTGGAAAGCATATATGAGTCATTTTTTTAAAGCCTGGGAATATAGCTTTGTAGTCCAACATGGGCTGAACATGTATGAGACTCTGGGTCCAACCTCTAGCACCAACAATAAGAATTTTTAAATTCATAAAAAAAGCCTTACTATTCCACTTGGTGATGCACAGCACACTCCTCCCCATTACCCAAGATTCCTTAATTTTTATAATTAACTTTATTTTAGAAACTTGGAAATCAAAGTATCACACTGAAATTAATTAGACCTGAAGTCACAGCAACTCAGTAAACCAGAGCTAAGACTCTCTGCAAGTCCTCTGCTTTCTCCTAGCAGCCTCTCAACCTCACTTGGTCTCTTTCCTCCCCTCCTGGAATGCTAAGAACAGCACAGTCTCCTGTAGGACTTTCGACACAAACTGTAGTTAGATTAAATGCTTTTCTTTTCTTTTTTTGTTTTTTTGAGACAGGGTTTCTCTGTGGCTTTTGGAGGCTGCCCTGGAACTAGCTCTTGTAGACCATGCTGGTCTCGAACTCACAGAGATCCGCCTGCCTCTGCCTCCCAAGTGCTGGGATTAAAAGCGTGTGCCACCAACACCCAGCTTAAATGCTTTTCAGAAGTGTTTCCACCATCTCTTCTTGACTGTCCAAATACTGATAAGTCTGTTTTAAAACATCTGCACAAATGGGCTAGATCTTCTGATATAATCTAGAAGACACACAGTACACCCAGGTATAGGATAATAGAGTGTGTCCAGACAGTGGTCAGTAGTTAAGTCAAACAAATAGTCAATGGTAAATGTTCTACATAGCCAATTAGTATTGAAAATCACACAACATACTTAGTATCTTTCATATATGATCCTAATTTTTCACTAATCTTCACATCTTTCAATATGTAAAAGGAATACAATTGGTACAAATATAGTAGCCACTGTACTAGTACACATTAAATTTCTCTTCTTTTGATTTTTAGTCTTTTGAGAAGGGGTCTGATGTAGACTGGTCTGGCCTTGCTATGTAGGCCAGAATGACCTTGAACTCCTATTCCTTCCGTTTCTACTCCTAAATGCTGAAAATATAAACATCCACCACCATGCCTGGCTCAAACTGCACTCCTATAAGTCAAAATACATGTCTGATATACTAAGCAGTAAATACACACTAACATAGGTAATAAAGACTAGTTTGGGGCATTTGGAGGAAAAAATTATTAATAAAATTCCAGTATCTCCCAAAGATTCAGGACTTGAATCACTTTTCTGTGGGATGAGCTCATTATTAAAAATCTTCAAGAATAATAATGAGAGAAAAATAAGATTGCTGGTAGGCCAATGGGCTTTCCATTAGCTTAGGCTTAATGTTATTGATGATCATGCATTTGAACTGTGATTATTTTAATTCAGGTACTTTGAAAGGCACATACAGAAATCATCCGTCAGCATTAATCATCCAAATGACTCTTACACCAGGGTTGCAATGCATTCTGAATTCCCCCCCCACCCTGCGGATGTTTCTTGGCACCAACTCTGTGTTTTTGTTAAAACCAGGTGTAGTACTTGGTTAAGTACTTGATTATTTGACTTGGGCTAGCATTTAGGTTAACCACAAAACAGAGGAGGAAAACTCACTGCCATGTAACACATTGGTAAGATGGATGCCTGTTAAGTCCGAGGCATTTTATATGTTACCAAATACACACAAGAAGTTACAAAGGAAGTAAGGCAAGGCTTCACCTGTAACCCAGAAAACTCTTATCGGTAAAGTCTTTAATCTAAATGTGCAAATGGAACATTATTACTAGATGGTTGTAGAGAATTAAGTGTTTACATAAACTGAATATAAATTGTAATTCTTATTTAGATTACTAAAACTTACCATATTCTTAGCATTTAATTCATTATCTACTGACTATGTGAATCTGTTCTTTCAAGAAAGATACTATTACTGGAAAAAAGAAAATCTGGGCTAGGATGCAAATTGGTGATAAAATTCCTGCCCAGCATACACAATGCTCTGGGATCAAGAACTAGCACATGTGGAGAACAACAAAAACAAAAACCAAGAAATGAAACCAACCCTGAGAAATAGTATCTCCCACCATATTTTCCTCATGAGATTCTGCCCCCAAATGTTAAATCATCTCTTCAAACATGCAAATAATATACTAATAAGCAACATTGTATAAATCACCATAATTAGCAATAATAAGTTTTTGATCTCTTAATCTAAAAATACTAGTCATTAAGCTAGCTCTAATATCAAATATTAATTTCATGAAGATTCTGAGAACAATTAATTCAACATTTTAGGAAATCACATAATCTTTAACTCTACTCATTTTCCAACTGAAACTCCAAACTAAAAATGTGCAAATCAAATTAATATGTTCTTCCTTTTTGCTTCAGACTACCAAGTTGCATTGTTCTCTTCCTCCTAATCAATATATAATGCTTTCAAAATTAAACTACTTACTCTGATAGTTCAGTATCTATGGACAAACTTAGGTAATGTATTCACATGTCTTAATAACAAGAATAATGCACTTTTACAACTGGTGTGTTACTTTCCCTCAGTCTCCTAACTACCAAGAAAGCCCACTGCTTCGTAAAGGAACTTCATGAAGAATTCTGAGCAGTAACACAATTTAAGTAGACAATTTCCAGACAGTCTTTTTAGCAGAAGTGTGATACCTGTCTTTCCAAAGTCCACCCAAAGTTTCAGATTAAGGGGAAGATGATTTTTGTTTTAAAGGAAAGATAAAACAATAAAAAGAAAAGCCACCAAACATACTCATCAGAGCTTGATTCTGTTTTTAACTGGACAGAATTAAGAATTTTTTCATGTAGAGAGACTACAGCGTGTATGTGAGTTGTGAAATTTACACACAACCACTAACGAAAGGTAGGTGTTTTGGAGATGAGACCAGTTCGGCTAAGCATTCTTCCCCCTTCATAACAGAGCACACTACTAACCACAGATGGCAGTTAAATGCAGTACTGGCAATCAAGATTTGTTATCCTAACTGAAAAGCTCGGTAGCTAGCACAAGAAAGTATAACATTCTTCTAATAATACAAAGTAAGTTTCTGGTTCAGTTGTTTCTTTTAACATGGAATCTTCTACCATGATCCATATCTTCTGAAACACTCTATTATTAACATATGCTGGGGTATTGGAAATACCCTACTTTCAAGCCCCTTAAGAGATTTTTCCAGATCTATTCAATAAAGATAACTAGTGAGATTTGGGAAATTCAGTCTTTATCTGACTGATGTCTTCCTGAAACGATCCAACCTGAAAATCCTCTCTGACATACATCAATACACTGATCTGCCACAAAGGCAGTGAATCCATAACCTACACAGTTTTCATCGTGAGCATTTTCTAGGTTGACCTGGCCACTAAGATGTGAGTCAGCCTTCCAGAGTTGGGGAAACTGATGGAAAAATGGCTAAATGATTCAGCATGCTGCAGCAAAATGAGCTGGTCATGAATTTATAATTTCTAGCCCTGTTAGGTGTCCTGGCCCTGGTTGCCTCTCTTACCCAATACTCAATGTATAACACATGATACTGTGATCAATAGATTTTGTTAAGCATTTCCTCAGAAAAAAAGTAATAATGTCTTCCCCCCAGACAAACTTCTAGACAGAAAATTCTTTAATGCCATGTGACAGCTCTGACAATGGCCATTTGCAAGCTTCCTCGAACTTTGTTCATGCAAAGGACAGGGTTGGAACTGATGGTAGTGGTGGCATGGCTATATTCTCAGCAACACAAGAGGCAGAAGGATGAAGCAAGAAAAATAAAATGTAAAATACAAACATAAAACCCCCAAACAACAAACAAACAAAAAAAGAAGCCATAAGCATAGGCAAACATGCTTCTTGTGCCAACACTGACCTTTAGCAATGAGCATCAGGAAAGGGCAGAAGACTCTAAGCAGGTCAGACTAACAGATAGAAACGGCAGAAGACCATCTGGGGTAGCTTTGGGGATACCTCGCTGCCCAAAGCAGGTGAGAGTCTTTCTAAATGTCACTATTCACCCAGCAGCAGCAAAAGATTTACTATACTAACTGCAGGAAAATTTTCAGAAATATATAGGTCCCAAGCCAGAAGAAAGCTTTCTCCAGCCAATGACCATCCAATGACCATGTGAAAAATCTTATGCAGTAAGCGGATTCCATCTAAAATTGTACCACCTCTAATACGGAGAGTACATCCATTTTGTGACCTAAACACTTATCTCACCCAGAATTTTCTGAGAGCAGGACAAAGGCATATGTCAAGATGTTTAGAATGGAATCGCCATTATCTGTGAAGTGGGAGCTGCTCATTCAATAGCCTGGATTTATTCAGTTCAGTTCAGTGTAGTGACTATGACACACACGCTCCCCCACACTCACACACAAATCCTTAGCAGCAGCATAGGAAAAGACAGGATTTTACAATTATCCAAAATGCACTTAAGAAATTATAGTGACAAGGGTGGCCATCCATGAATCCATCTTTTTTTTCCTCTCCATTCTTACCGTGCAACCCCTCATTTCCCTTAACCTAACAGAGGGTGGAGAAAAACAAAAGATGATTAAAAGGGCATAGTCCAAATGTACATTTTTATGCAGGCATGTGGTGTGTGTGTGTGTGTGTGTCTGTGTGTGTGTCTGTGTGTGTGTGTGTGTGTGTTTCCTCCTCTAGAACCTTGGAGGTCATCGGAAGGAAAAAATGGCTCGATAGACATGGTTTCAGGGCCTACCCTAGGGGACACCTCCAAGGCCAGAGGCAAGCTCAGGAGCGACCCGCTGGGCAGCCAGTTTCCAAGGCTTCAGACAGTATGACAGAGGGCCAGCCAAGGCCACGCTGCCGGCCTTTGAGGCCCCTATGCCATGTGCATGATCCACTTATATAAAAGGATGCTTACAGTCCAGGTGCTTCTTCTTGGGGCCCATCACCTCATGAGTGGTTGCTTTGCAGACGGCTCTGGCTACAGCAGAGCCAGTCACGCTGTACTGAGCAGCGGCGATCCGATCCGTGAGCGTTTGACCCGACATCTTCACCGGCCTCGTCTATCGCCTCCTCTTCTGCAGGAAATTAAGAGGAGACGGTCCCGCTTTCACCCGCACTGCCTAAGCTGGAGAGCCCCGGCCTTGCCTGCTCCCGCCGCACGGCGGCTCTCTCCTCCGCCGACCCCGCCCTGGCACCGCCTCTTGGGACCAGCGACGCGCCAAGCCCTGCTGGTCCATCGCGGTCCAGGGCTGTCAGCCACCGGCAAGGTAGTCCTTGCATCGTGCCACTGTCCCGCATCCCCACACCCTGAAGCGGCCACCACATCCCGGCCTCGCCCTCTGTCAATCAGCGCTGTCCGCGCAACCCTATCCCGTGGTGCGGGACCGGTGCGCGTCTGGGTTACTCCGGACGCCGCGCCCAGGAGCGCGCACCTCTCGCTGTCGCGGCCCGCAGCGTGTTCCCCACCGCAGCCCGCAGGGCCGCGGCCACCTCCCTTCCCTCCCGGGGCTGCGGCGGGGGGCGGCGGCGTT